TAGTTTTTAGAGATTTGGGTATGGAGGAAAAGAGAGAGGGTTGTATTTTCTTACACTTGGTGAGTTCCCTGACACACCGGGGACACATATTCATGTATGAAAGACGTACAAGAGTGCATTTTGCATGATAGGTCCCCTTTAAATCTTATTCATCTAAAAAGAAAATCTATCCACGTATATTTTTGTCTGGCCTTGTGAGGCACTTTTCTTTTAAAAGTGCTGTATAACTGAAATAAAAATAAAAATAATTAAACTTGCTATTGGATCCCTGCAAGTTTCCTGTTCATTTTATATTCTGCTTATACTTGACACAGCACCTATCCTCTTTGGTTCTGATATGTGTGCATACTCCCACTTGTATATCATTTGAGTTGGAACCTGAAAAACGTAATCGCATTGGATGAAATAATTCCTCTTGACAGCTGATGTAGAAACACCTGGATCCATATGTTTTTCAGCATTTTCTGCTATCCTCCTATCGCAAAATCATTGTGTGGGTGTGGCGTGTCAGGGTTTAAAGACAAAACACTGATGATTAAATAACTATCATGTAGTTTTGTTGCTTTCTATGCTGTTAATCATCTCCGGACCCCTGAGATCTAACATGCGAGGCCCTTCAAAGAGTCCAGTGCTTGTCAAAGCAGTTCATGAACTCTGCGCACTATGAAGACACTAATTCTAATTCCTTAGTGCAAAATGTTGCACTCATTTTTGCAATAATTTCCAACCTAAATAAATCATGAAACAAAATGGATAGAAAATGATGTCTTACACTTACCTTTAATTCAAAACAGGCTTTTAAAAACAGACTGATGAGAAGGAAGGGCAGAAAAAAGGTTGAGTTTGATGATTTAGAGGTGTAGCTACCTTGCTTCGCGAAACTTTTTGAGCTTGCAGGGTCGTTCCTGGTTTCTCCGCCTCCTGAACCACCTCTGGACCTGTCGCACTGAACAGCTCGACTGTTTACTTAAAACCTCTATGGAGCTCTGAAAACAAAGCATAACAAGGAAATAAGAACAGCGTCTCCAATGCATGAAATAAAAACTGTTTACACAAGGCTCAGGTGTGAAGATATATGATATTTATATCCTGTTGTCGTCCTCCATTTACACCTCAAACATCTTGGAATTTGGTAATCAGGATCAAGCTGTGCTGTTGCCAGAGGACACACAACATGTTTCCTGGAAGATTACCTGTGTGGGATTCTTTGATGTGCTGCAGAAGTAGGGCTCCAGGACGGGATTTGGAGAAGCACGAACACGCTTCTTGTCAGTTACTCCTAAAATGGAGGCGAGAGGAGTCGCTACAGTCCTGGTGAGAGGGAAACAGAGCTTACTCGTCATCTCTCATTATCAGAAAGAGATATGTAAATCAGACGGGTAAATGAACAGGCAAATGACACCAGGACAAGACATAAATAGGCACCGCCGGAGATGACTCACCTCTCAAATATCTGTCTGATGACCAGGAAGCACAGAGCGATGGGTATAGTCACCCAGAGGTCCTGAGTTTTAGGGTAAACTTTGCCATCGTGGTCCGTGAGGTCAGCCCAACCGTAACCTTCAGGAAACCAAATCCAGTCTGCCCATATCTGCTCCCTCAGCCGAGACAACATCCTAACGTTTTACACAAAGAGAGAAAAGTGTTCTTGTTGGTTTTTTTGTATCACGTGGAAGGAAATGAAGACCGGTAATAAAAAGGAGGTGTTGTCTTCTTGACGATCTTCATTTCGATTTTTTTTATTCAATAAATATGGAGACTCTCTCTCAGCTGTGACCATATCCTGAGAGGAAGGAAAGGAAACCGAGAGTGCTGAGAGGAACGAGTATTGATTCATCTCACTGCATCTGCAACAGGCGGCATATCTGGCCACTTCCTGTTTCAGATGAAGAGAAATGATCAAGGGCTGATTTTGCTTTCTGCACACAATCTATGATAATCCATTTGGAGCTCTTACATAGACTGCAGTTGGCACCGATCATTATTCCTCGAGAAACTATTTCTGCAGCTGCATGACATTATTTACCCAGACACATGTCTGAAATCACTTCTCCTCTGCTCCCATTCTGAAGAACGCTTTATCGTTTACTATTCAGCATTAAAGAGAACTTTACAAAACAGAAAGAACACCTAAGAGTTGGCTTTTTTAGTAATGAAATAACGTTTCATTTATTTGTCCCACATTCTGTACCTGACTTGGGAAAAGAAGATTACACAATTAAATTAAACACACCGTGCGCTTATAATCTCTTGAGCAAGATATCTCCTGATACAACCTACCTATTTAGTTATTATCTATGACCTGCTTAAAGAAAACAGGACAAAAACAACTGTGCCATTTTATGATACACATTTTAAATATGTATACATTCATCTTGATGTTAACTACAGCAGGCTTATTCCTGTATAGACCCTTTCAACAAGAAGGCAATAACAGTGCTTTACACAAGACATAAAAAAGATAAGACAAAATGTATTACACAAACAAGGCAATAAAAGGCACGGAGGAGACATTAATATAATGAGGTGAATAAAATGTAAGATAAAGATGTTTGATCCAGTTATATGGAGCATGAACACAGAAGGCTTCTTCTCTCAAGTATATTAGCAGCGAGTAGCTTTAAATCTGGTGAGGGAAATCAGCCGACCTTCTCCAGACGTCCTCAGAGGTCTCAATCTGTACTTTGGGTGTTTTTCTAATTAGGAAACGTTATCATTTAGTTCAAAGCCCCTCAGTGCTTGAGTGCAGCCTCACAGACATTAATGCTGCTTTGTTATTAGAGTGCAGAAACGGCAAAAGCTTCTGACGCTCAATGACCTGGGGTGACATGAGTGTTGTTATCATAGATTGTTTGTCCACAATAGAACTTTTCCAATGTGGGGTCATCTGATATTAAATCTAATCATCAGATTACTGCTCTACCTATGTTTCTGGAGTCATCTTCCTGAGGCTAATCATTTAAGGAGGGACATTCAGGTTGTCACATTTTTCCTGCCAGATCCCTTAATAAAGGCAGTGTGTGAGGCTGGACTTTGACCCGTTTAAAAGCTCAGAATGAATGCACAGTAACTCAAGCAGGCTGCCTTTGTTAGCAGAGGAGTTTCACATCAACAGGATCTCATCACCGTTAAACATCAGCAGTGAAATAAGGCAGTGAAATTTGAGAGTTTATCAGTGTGGGCCTGTCCCCTCTCATGTCATCCTTCAACTCTGACAACACTTTATTTACTCCACCAAACTGTCACTGAGATACACCTGGTGTAAATACTACTTCAAACATACCAGATACTACTTTAGAGTCTGCCTGCTTGTGTAGGATTCCCTCAAGAGGTAACTGGCAGAGGAAGATCAATAGCTGGTAGAATAACAGGTTGCAACTGCTGCGGGCCAAAGTAAACTTTGCATTTCATTTTGTTAGCCAAGATATGTCTACGTATCAGCCAGACAGTATGAAATGTCAACAAGTTAGACCAGCAGATTCTAGACTCCATTTATTATTTTCCGAATTAAACCAGCATGTGCTTACGGTGTGTGAATATTTTTCACTTTTTATTTTATTACAAGCAGCTGTGCTCTGGCATTACAGTATAATCTACTACAGTATCATCAATTGCCACGAAACTAGAGAATTCACATACACATCTCCTCTGATCCATGTGATTAGTATAATGTTTTTTCTTTAGTTTGGTATTACACTTCGAGTAAGTTGATTGAGACCAATTTAAAAGTCCCCATTATGTTTCCTTACGAAGCAAATGTTTGTTACACAGAATGCTTTTAGAAGCGGTCATTGTGAACTGTTTGAAAAAAGGGCAGGCACTTAAAAAAAATATATACTTTGCATCTGATTGGAAGAACCACCTGTCAATCAAACATTTTTTATCTGAATCATCTTTTCTGCTGTCAAAATGATTGCGGATTTTACGAGTATTCAGTGGCTGTGCAAAAAGTTCCAAAATACACCGGATCCTACACTTCCCATAAATCGACTCAATAGTATCTTTTATAGGGCCCCTTCTGCATCCTAAATACTTTTTTATAAACTTGACACCCCCCCAGTTTCCTGTTATTAGGTACTATGAGTCATTTTGAGCATGAGGTGATGTTACTTATTGTTGTGGCAATACCACTTCATTTGAATGCAGGTGGTGGTAATTCCCCAAGATATGCAAAAATGAACCAGCGAACCGGATTATGGATTAGACATGGGTGTAAACAATGCAAGTTTCTTAATGTTCATTACTCAAAAATAAGAATGACTTCGGAAAGCTCTTTGAAGAGGCACCGATCAGAAGACATTAGAAAATGCCAAAGGGGGGACGCCCCTTTAAAAAAGGGGATTTGTGTGGAGTTTCTTTTTTATTTTAAATGGGGTTTTTTCTTGAATAAAAACCTAAGAGGACAGAGGCTGTTTGACAATGTTTTAGCTGTAAATTCCTTGGAGAATTAGGAGATAAGACTGATTTGAATTTTCTTAGGGACACAATAGACTGACTCATATCAAATAACTCAAACAATGTGAGACAGTCAACGTCCCTCTGTGTGAAGTAGAGCTGGAGGCCTCTGTATTCAGGGCTTTCAACTTCGGGGCGGTTGCCTCACTCTCTAAACAACCGGCCTGAGGAGAACAGACTGGCAAGATCCTTATCCTCTATAAACTCCTTAAAAAATGAAAATTAAGTGTTTTCACAAGGTTTATTGTATGATTCCAAATGTATCCGTCGGGTAACTTATTAAAATATATTTCTATACAAAACAATTCTCTGAAGTTTTATATTATCTTACATTGTTTTATTTAACTTTTTCACGTTTAACTCCTTTTTTTCTAATGTTTTTTAATTTTTTATTATTGTTTGTCTTGCAATTGTATTCACTCATGTAAAAGTCCTTAGTAACTTTGTTTTGAAAAGACAAGTGTTATTATTTAAAGTTGAGCAGCTTGTGTCAGTGGCACAGCTCTCTACGCTGTTTGCGTAAACCCTCGCAGCCAGGGAGTGGCAGGGTACGCTGCATGCATGGCGCAAGCGGGGAGTCTCCCGGACATAGCGGGACGGACAACCTGATGGAGCTCTGCTCAAGTTTACCAACACATATCTAGCTTACTCAAATGTTATACTTTCTACAGACCGTCACATGTAATTTTCACTTTCTTTCACCCGTGTAAAGAAAGGCAAGGGAGACTATTCTAAGTGACAGTTTACGTTAGAAAACTTTTCCTGCGCATTCATGATTCACACCACAAACGAGATTAATGACGTTTAACAGAAACTCTGCATTTCGTCAGGTGAAGACTGTGTGCTTTGTTGTTTAGCATTGGAGGCTTTTATGACCTTCGGTTATCAGACTGTTCCTAAACAAACATCCCCGACAAGCGGAGGCCTGTTAGCTAAACTTTGATATGAGAAGGTCCCTTTAACGGCTGAATCCGTGAGTGCTTCAGGTAACGGAAGAGCCTAAAGTTTGATGCGAATACTCCGAACAAACTTCAAATAAAACCTCCCCGGGTGGATGGATCTCCTGATTCTGTCTCAAAGATAGCAACCCACTGTGTGCCTGTCAGAAGTCTTTGGTTTGGAGCTTTAAAAGTAGATCGAGTTGTATAACTTCAACTGTCCATAAGGAAATGTTAGCTAACGGTGCCGCTAACTTACCTCTCCGGTTGTATCAGGCAGGTAATGAGTCTTAAAATGTCTCCTCTCTACCACAGCTGCTGCACTTCCTCTGGTCCTGTTGAAGCGAGAGGATTTCATGTAGATCTCGCCATCAAAAACGACTTGTTTGGTCTTTGATGAGCTTCAATCCGCCTTCTTTTTTTTTTTTACCTCTCCCTCTAACCTGAGATTTGCCACATTCTCCTAAAAAAAAAAAACTGTGTCGCACTTTCTGCCCAAAACTCTTGCCTTTTGGTCGTGATTTTTAAGGTGGTCGAACGATGACCAAAATGTTTATCTTTTCACTTTTGCGTCGGATAAAAGTAGTATGGTGAGCTCAGGCTTGTTTTCCGTTTAGCCGGGTACTTGCATTGGTGAGTTATAGTGGATATTATGGTAGTATGTCAGGGGGAGGGGGGGGATGCTGGCTATTTAAAGTGACGTGAGCCTCTGCTCTGTATGAGGAGTGGCTAGTGCCACTGACAACGGTAGAAGAAGTACTCAGATCCTGTACTTAGGTAAAAGTAGAACTACCAGAGTGTTGGGATACCATGTTAAAAGTAAAAGTCTTGCTGTTATTTAAGTGTTGATTCAATTTCACATCATTAATTCAAATCTGCAAAGTAACTAAAGGTATTAAATGAATGTTGTGAAGTAAAAGTACACTATTTACCTTTTCTATTGGGGTGGAAGTACAAAGCAGCAAAAGATACTCCAGTAAAGTAGCCTATTAGTAGGCCTACCTCAACTAATCTATATTTCTCCCAAGGCAAAACCAAATCTAATCATTGCAATGCAGGGATATATATGCATATGCATATATTTAAAATTGAATGCATTAGGATACTTTTTGGACTTGAAAGACCATTGTGTAAAATTAATCATCAAAATCGAGTTAAAAATGTACATACATAAAGGCACAAATAATAATGAACCCCAATTTCACTGAATTTGTATCTAAAAATATATTAAGACTCGTAAACTTTTAAACACAAAGAAGGTTTAAAAAAGTATACATTTTATGGTGAACCCTTCAAAGAATAATGTGTGCTTTTTTTAAATATTTGTATATTATTGTGGTTTATTTACAAAAATGGGCATGTTATCCAGTTGATAGAGTAAAGTATTTAGTATACATATCAAGTCATAATGTTGTATGGTGTTCATATATTTGCAGATAGTACTTAAAAGTTTGGCCCTTGCTGGTAGAATCAGACACTCACTTCATGTTGCAACCTAAACGCCCTTTAATCCATACATTTATTTTAGTGTCACCGCATGATTAACTCAAGTACAGCATGGGTGCTGAAATAATTCATTGAAATACACCAAATAAATTAGATTAAGTGTGAATTGTTATTAAAACCTCTTGGGTTCTAACTGTAGTTTTCTCTTTGTTAAGGCAAGTTGAAAAGTTGAAAAACGACTTGCCCATCAGAATAGATGCAAAATAAAAAAATGTCATAAATCAGAATATATTCAAGGCTGTGAGGCAGGCTTGTGATGTGTGCACGTGCAGCTTTTACAACTTTATTCAGCCTGCTCTACATATTGTTCTTCTTTTTTTCATCCACACCTTTATGATGTCTTGAAGGTCGATTTCCACGTGATGGACTTTGCATCATTAAATAGAAATACACACGTGGCATTTTCCAACCATTGTTTAGTAACTTTTTTCCCCTTCTTATTGCACACATGTACTTTGTTGTGTGGTGATATCCAAAGAGTGTTTTACCCACACATTAATGCGTTCCTAAAACTGTCAGATGATGTACTTACTAAGTATTAGTTACTAATATTTCACATTACTTATAGTATCCTTAAGTTACAGTCTTTTTGCTGGAGGGTTTCTCGTTAGATTGCAGCTACAAGGTAAACAGAACAGATGTTATCCCTCATTCTGCTGTCTGTTAGTGGCACTAATCACAGCTCATACACCCAGGCATGCCGGAGGAGGCCTAGGCGTGTTTCGACTCATCTGACCGAACCCAAAAAGCTGTGGCAGTCGTCCTCACTGCATACCCCAGCTGTGGTTACACACACACCTCAGCCTTTTCCCTCCTCTTCTTACCTGACCTAGATATTTATGCATGTCATTAATAAATCATGGCTGACGTGGGATTATCAATGACCTAACATGACTGTGCAATTATAATGGACACTGTCTACAGGCTTGCATTTAAAGATTACTTGTATGAATGAATTAAAATGCAACAATAAAAACACTACAATATATTTTTTATTTCCTTCCTGTAAAGCGTTAGTTAAATGCAGTCCAACACTGGAGGCCAGATGTTCTTTGAAACTTTCCTCAATTCTTCTTCAGGCCTATAGAGAGCACCACACTCCCCTGGATATCTCATTACTGATTCTAACACTGATACAACCTTAGTGTATTCTGTCGTATTTTCAAGCAAAATAAAGAAAAAAATACATTTTTTAATCATTACACCCAGAAAAGATGCCAACTTTTGGTAAATAACACGTCGAGAAGCAGACAGTTAAGCAGACTCAAAAAAGATTTCTTCTAAATTGTACTTTATTTTCTTTTAAAGACATATGTTTTAAAACAGCGATTGTAGAGAATAAATAAAGAAACATTATGTTTTTTTTTTTTTACTTCCATAGGTACATTTATGTAATTAAAAACTCTATAATAAGTGTGTTCATTGTCTTGAAGACCACAGGAATCCTCTTTTTTTTTCTTAAATTAAAAAAGAAATTGTCACATCTCCACCCATCCAACCTCATCAAATTGATTACCAAATAAATTAAACGTAAAAAATCAAGATAGAAAAATTCCCAGCCATTCCTTCTGCTTTGATAATTTGAAAAGTAGTGGCAGCAGAGAATCTTAACTTGTGAAGTCTTTAAACTCCATTTTTAAATCAAGGTATATACAGTGAGGAAATCCAAATCTCTTCCTGTGTAATCTCCCCCTTGTTTTTTTTTTTAAAATTTACGTATAAATAATAAAACTAACTCTACATAACAATATTACCAATGGTAATCATACAGAATAGTATTTTCTTTTGCCTCCGACTGCAGACTGGCCTTCTGTTAACGCCATGGACCACAAATCACACTATACAGTAGAACCCTGTTCAGAAGAATAACATCATGATATGCTTTTTCTTAACATGTAGATCTTGTTGCCGACAATAGAGTATGTACATAATATAAATGAATCCAGCTGTGGAATGATAGGAAATCTGGAGCACTTCTGATATTGAGGATGCGGTTTCTGTAGATTTATTCTGTTGCCGATATTACTGCTGTTGTTTTTGTAAGCGCATACACGTGATACTGCTTTCGTGAAGTGTTGCTCCTGTGCTATACGGTTGGTCAAACAACCAAAAAAGGCTGGGACATCCCAAGTGGTTTTCTTGATTGAACTCTTAGGTTTTACCTGCAGGTAAAGAGGAAGAGAAGAGAGAAAAGAAGAAGAAAAAGAAGAGAATTAGAAAACAAAAATCTCACAAATCATCATCAAACACACACCCACACACATGTAGGACTTTGGAAGTGGAGTGGTGTCTGCAATACACACTGCTTGCACTGATGCCTCAGGGGAGTGTCAGTAATCAACTAGTGTCCATGCAACTCTAATAGTGACAGTCACACTGCTGCAAGTGTATGCACGTTCTTAAAAAGTAGTTTGTCATCTCTTTTGGCAGGCAGGCAAATTAATTCAGAACATGCATAGTAGGAATTCTGGTGGGGATGACTATAACGCTTTAGTAACATAACATTTAGTCGAATGATATTCAGAACCAGGTCAATCACTAAACTGCAGTTTCTCACAGAGGATAGTTAAATCCAATCATCCAGCATTTAATTAGTTGTGCGAATAGGGCATCTGCAGCTAAAGAAATGTCAGAGCAGTAAATGTGAATTACTGTCCTTTATTGTTATTGACTACATTTAAATACTCTTAACAAGCATTCATTACAAACCCTCAAACTTTGTTCAAACTTGCCTTATTTACTCTACATTTTATTTCTGATTCGAGATACGGGGTACCATTTCCAAAGATATTAACATGGCAGAATATATGAACAAACAAATAAAAGGAAATCTAGGCTATTCTTGTCAGGCACATAATGCAGCCATTACAAATAATAACACATATAGCTTGTATAAAACTTCCATATTTGTAAAGGGGTATGGTTTTTTTGTAAAATGTATTGATTTGTTGTTGCAGAGTTGTAAAGAAATTAGAGATAGTTTAGAAATGTTATATACCAGAAGCAGAATAATATAAATAATCTGCTAGGATTTATTTTTGTATTATTCAGGCTTTCATTTCATTTGGTTATTGGCCTGCAGATACCCTGTGATTAATTAAAATGTTATGTGCTAAGTCAAAAATGTTTTATTTATATTTGAATACCATGAGGTCTTATTTGTGTTATGTATGTTAGCTCTTATAACGTTTATTAATATTATAATGTTTTTGGAAACCCAGAATTCCTACAGAGGAATGCAGTTCCTCAGCCAGCAGCACGTGTCACAGGAACCAAACAGCTTTACCCAAAACCTTCTAAAGTAGGGTTAGTGTCTCTGTGGTACAACACACACACACACTGCACACACACACCCACACACACACACAGTCACTTACACATGAACAATTTTCCACATCTAATCAATACAAAATACTCACACAAATATAAATGCACGCACCTTCTTGTTGCTTAACATACACGCACAAATACCATGTGGTAAACCATTTACAGGGGCACGATCAGTACATTTCCAGTCTCACGAAACCAAACAAAGATCAGGCACAAAGTCACTTGGAATTGAGTTACAACCAAACAAAAACCCCACACTCACCGAAAACTACCACACCAACCAACTAAACAAAGGGAATGTGTAAGAATGATAATCATGACAGACAAAAAGTCAACTAATCAGAAAACAAAAGAAAGGAAATCAATTGTATGTATCCATATTTGATGGACAGCAGGTTGCTTTAGCTCTTAGCATTGAAGCTTTTAGAGAAAAAAAAACACATGTCATGATCATCAGTTGCTTACAGATGCTGAGGTAAATTGACAGTTATTGATCAGTGTTTGCAAGGAATAAAACCAGGACAAAATAATAAGAGGAAACTCACAACGCACCAAACACAGTTCATGGTCGCCACAGTAACCCGCCATGCAGTTTGAGCATGGTGAATCAAGGCAACGGCCCAAAATAAAAATTGCTAATGGCAACCATCACAGGCAATATCGCCACAGCAACCAACACAGGCCAATTAACTTACAACGCAGTGAGAAGGAAGAGGGGGGGAGGTTTTAGCGGTTGCTAGGCAACCGTAGCCATAGCGACGCACGTCTCCACGATATATGTATGGACAGGACAGTCTTGAGAGTGGTGTGATGGTTTTGTTCAGGAAAAATGGCATATGGCACAGCACAAAAACAATAAATGAAAAGTAAAAACAAAAAATTAATGACGAACAGTAGTTGGCATTTAACCCTGCGGCAGAACACTGGTTAGGCAAAAACATTTGAACCCAAGTAAAGAAATCAGCTCCTCAATCGAAGTGTCCTTCTACATGCTGAGCAACAAAAGAAGCAGACGCTTTTACACAATGTATTTCAAACTGATGAGAGCTGCCGCCTCATTAAAGGTAATCTACGGTAGGGTTATTGACTTCTTCATTTCCACATGAAAGACAGCCGTTTAAGAGCTGACCCCCCCAATTACATCCACTCTGTCTCTTTAACTTCCACATACATTTCAGCTGTCTGTCAATCCCTCCCCGTCGCCTCAAGTGTGTCAATAGACAATAACTCACCTCCTTCAGTAAGGCCTGTTGGCATCCTTGGGCCTCTTCAGCTGCACCTTCAGTCTCTTCATGCCGATCTGGAAGCCGTTCATGGCCTGGATGGCAGTCTGGGCGCTGGAGGGGTTGTCAAAACTTACAAAACCTGAAGAGGAAGAGGAAGAATGAAAGAATGAAGCGTCTATCAATAGCATCATTTATCAAACAAAGTACAAATATCAAACAGTTTAAAAAGAAGGAAAAATGTAAACGACTGAAATGATTACATGAAAAGGATGACTACATCTAAATGTTGTTTTGACTTGGTTTATGTGATTGATTGATTGATTGATTGATTGATATATAATGGAATAGGGGTAAGACTAGATAAGCATGTTGCATCTTACTACTCCATTTTGGACATGAAATGTAATTTATTTGTCCTATAAGTTCTTGAAAACCTGTTGTATATGTTCACCGTTATATATGGTTTTGTTGTTCTGCTTTTTAAATATACATTTGTTTGTTTTAATGCTCAAACTAAGTACATTTAATTAAATTACATGGGGAAAAAGCTAATATGACATTTACTGTATGGTGAAACTGGTCTTTAAAAGTCTCTAAAATCCACAACAGCCATCACATTCACTCACCAAAGCATTTACTCTGGTTGGTGGCGCGGTCCACAAAGACCTTTGCAGAGATGACGTTTCCGAAGGGCAGGAACATCTGCAGGATCTCAGAGTCGGTGAACTCCTGCGGCAGGTGGTAAATGAAGATGTTGCATCCCTCTGGACCTGGACACAAATAGAGACGAGACGACACAGAGATGAGAAGGTTAGGAGGTCAGTGTGGATCAGTTATAGTTAGAGCAGTTATTGTTAGTGGTACAGTCCTACACTCCTGTGTCTGAGTTATGCTTATATTTTGTATGTCAATTGTTTACGTCTCTTTTATTCAGTATAACACATATATGTATTGTTTCTCATCTTTGACAAATTTCATTTATTGACTTTATTATTTATTTTAGTTTGAATAATAAGGGTTAGATTTAAAAAAAAAAAAATCTCTTTTATATCATGTGAATGGAAAAGAGCATGACAACAATATACAGTATAGTGAGAATAATTGATTCATATTTAAAACATAAGCAGTTGTTGTACAACATTTTGTGAAATGCATTTATATGTTTTCTTGCTGATAGTCAGATTTATATCACTATCTTGTCTATGTAGTTCATAATAATAATAATAATAATAATAATTATAACAATAATTAAAATAAGTAAAAAGATATCTAAAGGAGCATATTGGATAAAATATGGCAATATAAAAAAAAAAAAAAAATTAAAGCTTAAGAACTTAAAAGGTTTGAAAATAAATAAATAAATAAAGTAAAGGACAGTCAGTAAAATGCGGTGTGGAACAGGTGGGTCTTGAGGCATTTCCTAAAAACTGAGAGTGATGCCGAGGTCCGTATGTTCTCTGGAAGCTGATCTCTGATTCCACAGACGTGGACCCAGGGAGGAGAAAGCACGGTCTCCCATGGTGACCAGTTTTGTCCGCGGAACAGCCAGGAGATTGGAGCTGGCTGACCTGAGTGTGCGTGAGGTATGGGAATGTTTTCTGGTTAGAAGTTCCTGTAGGTAGGTGGGGCCGGTGTGGTTGATGGCGTTGAAGACCATTATGAGGACTTTGTAGTTGATCCGGTGTGTTACAGGGAGTCAGTGGAGTGAGTGAAGGATGGGGGTGATGTGCTCTGATTTGCGTGTTTTTGTGAGTATCCGGGCGGCACAGTTTTGTACATGTTGTAGTCTCTGAGTGGTTTTTGCTGGAATGCCTGCATAGACATCTAAAGGATGGCACTAACCTGTTATAGCTTTTAAATATGAGAATGTGTTGTTATTTCTCATTTCTATATAGTGTACATTGAATAATTTGTTGTTTTCTTTAATGTTTGGTCAAATAAAACAAAACTAATTTGAGAATACTGTTATTTGTGACCTTTTCAGAAACTAAGCAATAATAAAATATGCAAAAGATGACTGGATTGCACAACAATGGGAATAATCATTAGTTTCAGCCATTCGTTGGACCAGATGAATGCAAACTTTGTAGTGTAGATCAATTATATATTTTCAAAGTAAAAGTCAGCTAATGCATTTTCCATATCAGAAGTGCATGCAAACCAACATATAGCAGTGTCTGTATAGTGGTATCTGTTATGTAAAGTGTGTGTGGTTTGTGGTAAATGGGCTGAAACATTGAAAACCACAGGACTGTTCCTCTCAGACACGATTATCTCAGTGACTTTACCTTCTCGCTGCTGCAGCTGCTGCAACTGCTGCGGTTGCTGCGGCTGCTGGGCCAACAGGGTGGGCTGGTGGGGGAACGGCTGTCCCACCAGGCTGTAGGCAGCGGGGTAGGTGGCTGATGGGAGGAGGAACAGGTGAACAGAGAGCAGAGGAGAGGCAGGAGAGACACTGCACACTAATCACTTTTTCCTCAAAACAACATCTGACAGAGCTGCATTCCCACCTACTGGTCTGCTAAAACCGGGAGAAGCTTTGCATTTATTTTGTGGCGTGTGACTCATTCCATAGAGCTGCGAGTTTAAACTATGTAATATATGTGCATGTTTTTACTGTGGATGTAAATTTGTACTTTACACATGCAGTGTTGTTAAGTCGAGAGTGTAAAGGTAATGTAGCTGCATCCCATTATGTTACATAACAATGTTTAGCATTCTGGTTACATGGAAATGGGAGGTTGTTTTTCATTAAGTAACCACAGGAGAAACATGCGTGGTAACAATTATGTACACAACATCACTCAAAATGTCCCTGTCTTTAGTTAATGGCTTCTTGGTGTATATATAAAGGGTTTTATAAGCAGACAATTTGTCCCATTTACTATAAATTCAGATTTTTGAATTCTCAATGCTCCTGAGTATTTCTTATTCAAATACCTCTAACAAAACCAATCATCACTCCACATTTAGCACTCTCTTATCAGATTGCCTAGATATAACACCAGAAATGTATTTGGTAATTCACAACCCAATGTTGCTTTCACACATCCACCCAATGTTTTCTAATTTTTAGTGTTGTCTGCATTTTTCTCTGCACACTTCAAGTCTCCAGCATGTCTGTTGTGTAGATGAAAATGTACTTGAAGTCGTGGATTAAAAACAAAGCTGAAGGTAATTTCTAAGAACTAAAACCAAAAAGGATGGAGTGGTCAAATTTGATGTATTACAGATTTTTATGAGATTTAAAAATATATATTTTCTTGTATTTCCTACATACGTACATGATACTTGACACGGTTTATGCAGCTTTTTTTTTGTGTGGCAGCAGTTCGACAAGTATAAAGCATCACATTTTGATAGATAAATTGCAACATATGTCTCTACCTATCTGGGACACATGTTTCCCAGAGTGACAGTGAGGCTCACCTGTGTAGTGCTGCATGCCGGTGTAAGCTTGCTGCATAGGGTCCAGCACCGGACTCTGAGCTGTGGCAGAAAAAAAACACATCGTCACCAGCTGCTTTATGCACACAACAAAATAATCCTGGATGCTATGTGGGGCACATCACCATGCTCCAGATAACATTTAGAGCTCCAAATAAAAGGTAGTGCTTAAATTAAATGTCCTCTTGATTAGATCCTTGTGGATGCACAACAGTAAGCCTGTGAATCTGTGGAGGAAGTCTACATGTTAGTCTTTACTCTCTGCTGTGAAGGATGTGGTGGCTCTACCTTGGTAAGCATGGACCCCGTTGGTGTACAGGGCTTCAGTTGCTGAATGGCCGTTGGGTGGAGCTGGCAAAGAGGCGTAGCTGTTCACGGTGAGGGGGGGAGGCAGAGCAGGAACCGGTGTGCCGGCCATGGAGGGTGGAGTGCTGGCACCTGCAGACATGTCAGCCATTTATTTTTATCCTAACAAAAAATCTACGGCATTAAAGCAGTATTTAAAGCATGACCTAGAGGAGATAAGGACGAGTGAATTATTAAACTTCCCAATCAACATGAAACTACTTGATTTCCATTTGGGATGATTTATTCTTTTAGTCTGGAAGGGGCCTTTGAATAAAGGCACTGAACAAATGAAAGGAGATCAAACAGAATAGCCTGTGTGGGATTTGGTAAAAATTACAGTTTAGAGATATAGTTGTCTTGGGGATCAAGTAATAAATGCCTTAGTCTTAGTCTAAGGGTATGCCAAACAGCAATTGAAGGCTTCTTTTGTTAAATTGTTGGATGAGTTGAAATAAAATAATCATAAACAATTAGCCATCCTGGCATTGAGCAATTTTTTGAAAGTAATCTAAGGGAGGTTGAGGCGGTGTCTTTGCTCAAGCCCTATGAAAAATACCCATATGAAATTATACATCGAATGTTTACATATAAATAACAAAAATGTGCTCCAACAAGAGCTCACAGCCAGACGAGCAGCTTTGTCACGCAGGCTGCCCTTTGGCACAGCGGTGATTTGAGCTACATGCTAGCATCAGCATACTAAATACTCACAATGACAATGCTAATCTGCTGATGTTACAGGGACCCTGTGGAGTGAGTGACCTATTGTAGTGCTATGGAGCATTTCGTTTTTTAATGATGCACGGAAGGAAAGGGATAAACACTCCTGTCAACAGTTTCGCGATATTCCCCTGATCTACAGGTGGCAGTAATGCACAAAGACACAAAGAAAATGAGTTGCTACAACTCAACACAGTGACCATTATCGCAACTGCTGATGAGCAATAAACACAAATTACAGCTAAGGCTGACCCTATTTGCTGGTATTTGGTCATGGCACGAGATTAATTAGCTTAGGGATCACCAAAGTTATTACAGGTCATCCTAAGGGGGACATTAATGTCTGGACATTGCTGTTTACAGTTTAATAAGTTTAAAGTTGCTGTTTATGTACATTTTATATTATTCTAAATTGAGGAGTGAGGGGTTGTTTTTCAAACTCAACAGACCAAGGACTTTCAGGACTCAGGTACTAAAGCTATGTTCATACTGCCGGCAAAATTGGCCATTGGGTCACTTTCATACTTTCGTTGAAAATAAACTATATCTTATACAGGTCTGATTATTGCAATGTGACCTCACTGAATAGTGATATCTGATTAATGGATGTATTATAATACCAGGATACGTCACCGCCACTCAGTTTATTTACTTACTTTGTGACATTGGAGACAAAATCCTTTCGCAGCACGAAAGGTATTTTTCCCATAGACCCCCATATAAAGAGGCATCTGTAAAACTGGGAACAGGACACCTTGAACTGCAACTGCAAGGTACACTTTGATTTTTTCTATTTTGAATTTACGATTCGTTAAAGTGATTGAAAAATCAGTGATTCATCACTTTATAAAGCCTGTTGACCTAGAAGGAGAAACACTGCTGAGCATATTCATATTGTGAAATTATTTAATGCGGGTCAGTTCAGGACCTGACATTGGACACATTTAGGAATAATACAAAATGTTCAGATGAATTGAGCACTAATGCTTTCAGGATGGAAGTAGCCTGACTCACTCACAATTTCATGACTTTTCTGAAAGATAACATCTTGACAGATTGAGAAAGAAACTACGAAATAGATGTTTGTTATTTTGTCCTTTGAGGTCCACCTCTCCTTGTGTATCTGTCCTCATATTTCAAGAGGAAATCTAATCAGGGGCCGGCCGGGGCCAGACGTCTCTGCCTCTCATTACCTGAGGAGGGGGTGATGGATGAGATCGGCGTGGCGATGATGCTGTTGGGGTTGAGGGCGGCGAGCTGCTGCATCTGAACCGCCGCCACCGTGGCAACAGGAGAGAGGTAGGCCGACTGAGCCACCAGGGCCTGCTGCTGCATCAACTGGAGGAGGGAGAGGGGGGAGGGTGATTGATAGGAGGGGAGAGAGGGGGTCTGGATATTCTGTATTTAGAAAAGAGCAAAGATTATGTTTAGAGGGATCTGTTTTTAAGACTGTGAGTGTTCCCTGAATGTAACCTCAGGCTTGTAAAATAGAGAAACAACACCAGGAGTCTTTAACCTTAAATTTATATGTTTATATAAAGACATTTCTATTATTTTAACTTGTTTTGACCCATATACACCTTTTATTTTACGTCATTCTAAAATGGAGCAACTCTCCGCAAACGGAATTTCCCCCACGATAAAGTTATTCAAATATGGTAAACATGCACCAAATTGTGAAATGGCTCAACATCCAACATTAAGTCATTGATAAGTGAACATTCCTGCATTTACAGTATATGGCAAATTATATCACAGAAAACAAATGTTTGCAATGTCCAATATATGTCATGCAGCACTAAGACCGACACATATTTTTCAGATTTCCATTATGAACTAATCATAAACATGAAGCATGTTTATATAATAGCAATGCCTCATGTCTGAGGCTGAAATAGGAGGAAATATATGTGAAAGACACGTCTCTGCACGATGCAACTTCACACACACGGACAAACTGTCCTCGCTCTGTTTTAGCAGACCTGTTCCATGACCTTTATAATCAGTGATTGTGGCCAAATCTATTTATAATTGGTTTTAACATAATGTAGTGTGCTCTGTGTCCAGGCTGTAAGGGGGGACATGATTATATTAAATCCTGCCTGTTTTAACTTTACCTGCACTTTTTTTAGAAATCTATTTTATTTTATGTTTTAGTTTAACGTTTTACTAAAGAGTAGAATGACACTCATTACTGTAAATTAACACATCCATTAAAGATATTGTCAGGCCTCTTTAAGTATCACAGAGTAAACAACTGTAAATGAGCCAAATCTGGAACCATTTGCAGTAAACGGTCAATTAACAACGAGAGACGTAATGTGGCTTTACATTTTAAATTGCAATTCTTCCAGTTAAACATCAACTTTAATGATATTTAAACTCTTTTATTAAATCTCAAGAACAAGCTGAGTAAGGTTAGCTTAGACTGATCATTGAGCAGATTTCAAGACGAATATTTATTTACTTTTCGGTCACATCAGCTTTTACTGCACTGCTTCTGCTTAGGTAAAATAGAATGGATTATATCTTCATATATCGCTCTAAAGCTGTTTGCAACAAATCAGTAAAGTAAGAGTAAATAAGTTAAAATAAAGATAATTATATTCTGAGGCCAGCAATAAAAGCAAGATAAAGTGACCTTGATTGTCCAATGTTGATCGAGATGCAGCATATTTGGTGACATGTGTCTCCAAAAAATAAACTCCATAACTCCACAGGCACAATAAATATAAACATAACCCTATATACTCCGTATTTCATTTTAGATAGTATCTAAAATGATATTGACCTTTTAGCAACATTGTTAGGTCAAAAGAAGTAGAGTTTGTGTTTTCTTAAGAATTGTGTCTTTAATGTATTTGTGTGTGTCTGTGTGTGTAACTCACGGCCTGTGTGTAGGCGTTGTAGGCCCCGAGGTGCAGGGTCATGGGGCTAATGACCCCCAGCTGAGAGGCCACCTGCTGCATCCGCCGCAGCCCTCGCTCCTTCTCTGAATCAGCAAACTTCACCACCAGGCTGGACGAGGCACCCTGCGAGGGAAATGGGAATTAAAAACGTTTCAACATAACTCTCGTTGTTTCAGGATCCGAGATCATTTAATCACAACGTCCTTGGTTTAAGTTGACCATTTGTCATTGTTTTCCTTTCTTTATCAATTCTGAACTGTCTTCCAAATAAACAAATACACCTAAAATGGTATGAATATATACACTATATATATATATATACCATTGCAGGTGATGGTAAGAAAAAATTATATCATAAAAAATGCCATACTTGAGAGGCTTGAAACCGCATTTTCTGACATCTTTCCATGAAAAATTACTCTAATAATTTATTGAGTTTCAATATAGTTTTAGCTTCATTTTCTTGTGATTTTTTGATGTTCTGATGAGTCGAATCCTCAGTCTAATTTAGGCAACCTGCACCACAACTATAGACTGTATTTATAAAACACACTGACCTACAGCAGAAAAAACATGACCTGATTTCAAACAGATTTGTCCTCTATGGCGTGTTTGTAGGAGGGGGACAGAAAGGAGAAGTGGTGACTATCAGCTGAGTCACCACGTTGAGTGGCCGTATGACTGGATTTGGAGCATCTAAAAGTGTGTACTGTATTTGAGTAAGGGTGTGTGTGTGTGTGTGTGTGTGTGTGTGTGTGTGTGTGCGCGCGCGCGCGTGTGTGTGTGTGTGTGTGTGTGGCACTCACTGGTAAAGTACGACTCCCATGCAGAGTGTTGATGGCGGCCTGGGCCTCTGCGTTGCTCTGGTACTTTACAAATGCACACCCTACATGGAATGACACACCATTAAACATGGCCTCACACAGACAGACTGACACACTCAGACGCACACACACACACACACACACACACACACACACACACACACACACACACACACACACACACACACACAGTATACAGAAACTACTTCCCTTTAAAAATACATTAGGAGCCGTCTTACATCCAGCGCTTCATCAGTTACCGTGGCATCATTAAACATGGTCCACAAAACATTCATTGCTTCATCAATCACAGTCCGTAAACCACCAAACGGATCATTAGCCATGACCCATAAAACCTATTGCACCATTAGTCATGCCTCAAGCAACAAACGCAGAAAAATATAGCATCTGTGTTTGAACTGTCGCTGGACTTTGATTTACATGGCAAGTATCATTAGCATTGTTGTTAGTGACATTATTAATTTGCATTCACAGGACTGGGAATGTGCTGAAGGCTTCATTCTCAGGGCTGGATACACATACAAACACAGAGTCAATATAGTGAAGAGTTCAAGTGTTGGCAAATAGTGGATGATAAAGCTTTTAAAAAACGATTTGAATCACTCTGGCTAATTTGAATAAGATTTGTATACAAATATAAATTGTCTATAATATGTAGTAATGTCTTACTTTCACATAAGCCTATATTTTAACAGAGGCAAAGCAATCTTTAATATTTTCATAGCTATAATTGATTATTCTACATGTTAGTGTTTTATCACTTCATTTTTCCATACCCATTATTTGTGTTTTATTTTGTTTTATGTTCGTTTTGATCGTTTACAGGGATTTTACAGTTTAAGACAAGTTAGAATAAAGACGTATTCAATGCCATTTCCGATTCAATTCAAGACAAGAGTAACAATAACAAAAATTGAAGTAAAAAATGTCAATTAGGGACACATTTGGCAGAATTTGTATTGTGCTATAAAACAGGACTTATTTTACTGTATTGCTTGTGTACTCCAAATGTTGACAAGAATGTGACACTAGAGCAGAAAATCCAAATGATGAGCGATGTCGGTTCTGCTATCCTGAAATGCAGGAGGCCTTCGTTGAAATATATATAAAAAAAATTTAAAAAGTCAATAATATTAAGGCTTTAAATGTCAGTGTCAGAAAAAGGAATTCATAAAATACTATTATTTTATTTTAAAGCATTTTCAAGATCTTGAAAGATAGATTAAATACATTTTTAACACATTTGAATACCAATTGAGTTTTTTTAAAGATTCTTTAGGAACTTTGTATTTTGTGTTTCTGCATGTCCACAACCCTCAGCCAGGAGGTTACCTTTGCTGGTGCCGTCCGGCCCGCGGAGCACCGTGCACTCCTCTATGCTGCCGAACGGCTCAAACATCTTCTTCACATCGGTGTCCGTCTGCTGCTTTCCCAGCATGCCCACAAACAGCTTCCTGTCTTCTAAGGGGAAGGAGATCGCAGAGATGGGAGGGAGAAAAGAGGAAAATGTGCGGATAATGTGAGTGTGGTTACAGAGGGCAGAAGTGGAAGCAGATGTGTTATGGGAGAGGTGAGGCAGGCAGTGACAAAGGGAGAGGAGCCATGTCACCATGAATAATAAAGGACAACAGTGTGATAACAGCTACAAAGAGGGAGGGATCCACCTGCTATGCTTCTCAGCGCCACCAGGGCGCAGTCACATGAACATCACAGAGAGCAAACAGCATCTGGCCATGACTCAAATGTTTGTCACCCGTGTGTTGTCAGAGAAGCTGCTCCGTCTGTGAAGGATCAGACCAGCCTTTCTGCACGTTTTTGCACATTTACTACAAATCACAGGCACGTTGCAGAGCACACAATCCTGAAAAGCATGCCTGGTTTTATAGGTCACAACCGTTCTTTTTCTCTAAAAGCATGTTGCCTTTTCTTTCCAATGAATATCAACTGTCCTAAAGCTTGAGGCACAGAATCAGTCATGAGCATGTCGTGGTCTGTTGTTTTATTACATTATTACATGAGATTCTGGTTGAAAATGTAATTTGATTAGTAAAATGAGCCTGTATGGTGCGTCATTGTGCTGGTTTTGAGAGCTAGCTGCCTTGAAGCATTACATTTACAAGCTGTATTTAAAAAATAAATCATTTTTCAGTCATTTCTCTTGTAAAACATTGCCGACATGTAAGTCGAAAGCAACACAAATAAAACCGACCATTATGCTAACTGTGATGGATTACCTATAGGCCTATAACTCAATTCAAGTATCTGCAAGCTCACTATCATACAATAGTGAAATTAAAGGGAACCAAAGTCATCTTAAAAGTATGTTTCTCAGAATAATAAACCACAAACAAAGGTGAATGTTGAATAGTGTTGTGTTCAATAGGCCTTTCACGCGGCAGGCATTTTGAATGGTCATACTAGGAAAAACTCAGGTGTTACTAATAACATTAACAATAGCTCTGTTCTATTCAATTAAACCAGTAAGCCTTGACAGTGTGACAGCATTGACAATACCAGGACCGTAAAAATGAGGCAGACATCATGCACTATATTATTTACACCTGTGCTTTGGAGTGCCTGCTGTGACCCATGTTTTCAAATTGATTGGTTTAGCTTGCTGAAACCAAAGCTGCCATGAAACAATGGTATGCTATTATGTTGTTGTTTTAACTGAGAAACAAACATGTGAGGCTTTAAGCCTTTTGAAACAGTTCAAATGTATAACAGTGTGCTCACAAATGTTGAAATAGATTAGGAAATGAAATGTGATTAGGGGACTGATTGATTGGGGAAGAAGGACCTTCATTGTTTTTTATCAAGTCAGATGCAGCAGAGTCTCACACTTGTTGCGATTTAAACATGCAGCTTTGAAGCTGTTGAGATTGTGCACAGTGTGTAATGTATAAGTGTAGTTTGACCCCAACAAAATATTTATTTTAACAGGAAATTGAATCTGTGAGTGGATATTGAATTACAGCTTACAGGGATGATTAAAGTCTGCATATTCTCTACGCACGTTGTTGTAGTTATAGTGCATATGCAATTGGTTGTTGGTAAAAAAATCCTTGATCAACAACTGATATTGTCTTTTTAATATGTTGTCACACTATTAAGAGCTCCTCTAAAAATCAATAAAGCTTACTTTTTGCCACAAAAAAATGGTGGATTGAAGACTAAAAGTACTTATAATGATAGCCATTGTTTGTTGTGTACAGGGTAGGGGTGTTTCAGCAGGAGGACAGGTGTTTCTTACCCCCTCTGCTCTCGCTGTCTGCAGGCTTCACTTGGATTGGGCGGTTCATCTGTAAAGACAGAGGTCATGTGGCTCCGTCAGTTTTAATACAGGAAAAAGGTAGTGATTATTGACACAAGAAAATAGGAAGGCTAAATCAATGGAATGTATGTACCCAGAGAAACCTACTAAATAACGATGTGGCCACTACTGGCATGTAAAGTGCCAGATGACATCCATGTAACCCATGTAGAATAGCTATTTAATATGACGTGATGCGTGTATGTATACATGTTAGTGAATTTGAACAGAGCTCCAGCCTCCTGCGATCCCTCATTAATTTGTTTCCAGCTCTACTCCAGCAGCTGACGGCTGACACCAGTGTGTGATGTTACACTCACAGCGTGGAACAGTCTCTCTCTCTCTCAGAGTCTTTCTCAGAATCTGCTCTAATCCTGCCGTCTATCGTTCCCTCTCCCCCTATCACACAGAACCAGGAAAAGCACACACCCACGCAGGATTGGGGAAGTGATAAGATTAAGAACACTCGCCGGCTAATCTGGATTACAGGAAAACGCAGCATCAGAATAGCGAAAGACTCTGAGCCTCACAGAGAGACAGAGATCGGGGTTAGAAATGAAAGAATAAAATGTGGGGGAAAAAACAAAGAATGAAAGAATGACAACAAAAAAAAGGGGGACACACACGACGCAGGGGGGGATTAGGTGACCTTTTCATAATTCATCAAAAGACAAGCTGCTGAAATGCCATCTTGTTCTCTATGTTATTCCACAATTATTATCCTTCCCTCTTTTTGGAATAGTGCGCTCATCAGTGCTTCAACGTATGAATGTATAGAACAGGGTGAAAATAGGTATTGAGTGAAATAAAGAAAAGAGCGAACAAGAGGGGGCCAAAGAGAGAAAGATGGGTGGGATTGAGAGGGATTGAGAGGAAGGGAAGGAGAATATGGTGGGGGATGTGTGTGGATGGGAGGAGGAGGAGGAGGAGGGAGGGTGATGTCGGTGAGGAGTTGGGGTGAGAGCAACTGAGTGACACTCTGTTAACTCTAGCTTAATGAAGGTCTTAATTATGGAGCTGGTGACATTTCAGCCGGTCACTGATTGATCCGCTGTGATCGGTCACCAGGAGACACTATTGATCCTCGCCACGGTCGCGCCCCGCCGCCGGGACCCGAATGCACAAACACCGGGACCGCCCCCGTCCCAAACACCGGGCTGAAATACCACCTGCTGCTGAGGCCCCTCCACCGAGAGCCTCCAATTGATCGCACCAATTAAGAGGATGATAGAGAACGAGGAGGAGCAAAGTCTCAAAAACCATCCTCCAATCATTCGAGTGACTGTGGGCGCCCGCTCCTCGTTTAGTTAATAGTCCATTTGATCAAATTGTAGTTTAATTTGCGCTCCAGATATCTTTCTGATATGGCCAACATACTTATGAACTTTTCAATATCATTATAACAATATGACTTGTGTTATTATAAATAACATATGTTCTGTTCTCTCTTTTGCTGCCTATTGAAATACAGTTTGTAATATATCTTTAAGATTTACTGTAAAATATATATAACATATTCTTACTTTTCACTTGCATTGTTTGAATCTCTTTCTGTATTATTTAATCAGGCCAACTCTTGGCCACATTTATTGAAATAATTTGATCCTCTTCATTTAAAGCTGTGTTACATGTCTTATGGGAGTGTATTTTTTAAATATAAAGCTTTTTCACAGGTTAACATGTACACCTTTACATTATGGAGAAATAAATAATATGACTATTTTTTTAAATGTGTAAAAAAAACTATTGAATTTCAACTGGTGCATCTTTCTATCCTGCTAACACTAGCTATCAGAAACATAAAGTACATTATCATTTAGATAGCTGAAGTTTGACAGTGCTGTAAATTGAAGTGCTGGTAAATTACAGAATAATAATTCTTTAGAGGAAAATCTTGAAGGCTGCTTACAGCTGAACGCTTCAAACTGAACTGTTGCTTTCAGAATGATGTGTAGGAGGAGGTCACTCTTTCAGTCTCGTTAAATAGGTGGGGAGGGCCAAGAGAATCAAATCCGGTTTCATTGACTTGACCTGAATTGTTGCTGTGGTGGCGACATGTGAATTTAACACCATACTCACCACCACCACCACGCCATGCCATGTGATTACAACACACCCTAGGAGTGTGAGTCATATGTACGAACAACATGGGATCACGTTATTCTCTGCTTTGGGCGCCATTACTCCACCATATCCCTACAGCACATATCTGTTTGCTGCTCACTTCAAAATCACACATACAGCTGCATTAAGGAATGATGCTAAGACCTGATGGCAGTCCTTAAATGTTATGTCTTTGATGGATAGCATGTTTAAATTATGTTTGTAGGAAATGCTGTGGCCCATATTGCAGTGCAGGAAGACAAACAGAGATAAGGAGAGGCGCAGCAGATGGCTCAGGAGATGGGAATTATAATCTACAAGAGGGAAAACAGTGAGAAGTGGAGGCCATCGAGGCTGAGCCACTCCAGATCGGCACGGCAACCAGGCCCCACTTCTCTGACGGAGACCGTACTCGCATGGCCATCGTCATGACAACCCCGGTGATCAGAAGAACCCTACATCAGGTAAACAAGGTTGTCCTGAATGACGTGCGGAGGGAGACCGGCAAAAAACAAATGAGGAGGACAAAGGGTGCTTCTAGGTCGAGAGATAGAGGGATTAGATGTGAGAGGGAGGGAGGGAGACAAGGAGGAGAGGAAAAATGAAAGACACGGAGGGAGCGCTCGAGCCTGTTGCATGTTGGCGCTGCCTCGAGAGCAGAGGCAGAAGCAGGGAGAAACATATCTGCCTTTAAGCCTAAACCACTAACGTACACTTTAGAGTAATTTCCTCTCACTCTCCTCCTCCCCCTGTTGCTCCCCCCCTCCTTCCCTTTCTCTCTTAGGCTTGTTTACAAAAACGGTCCCACACTGTGCACAACAACACACAGGCAAAAACATGCCTGACCAACAACCAATTGTACCTGTCTGTTTTTGCTTTTTGATTTGCTTCTCCCCCTTGTGCTCCATCTAAACACACAGATATTATATACAATCATCCTCCGACTAAACAAACATTCATTGCTCCCACACACACTCTCACACACACAAACACACACACACACACAAGCTCTGTCTGCTCCTGTCGCTCACAGCAACATCTACACACATTAATCTTTTTTCGCTCTGTGATGCCGCAGGGGATTTTGCTAGGATTATGAGATATTAAATCCATAGATTATCCAATCAAATCACAGCTCGACCCCTTTGCCATTATGAATGATCCCCAATAACGTCCAGAGGCACCGGGGAGTGGCTCGCTCCCATGTAAATGCATCTGTGTTTTGTGTAGAGAGGACTGTTTACATTTGGAGTGAGTAAAGCATATTGATGATGATGTTTTTCTCTATTACGACCAGCGGAGCAGACGATAATCTCGTGCCTCTCAGCTCAACGCAGCTACCGTCGTTAAGTCTAAAGCACGCTTCTGTAAAAAGGGTGACACATTTTCTGTCGCCTGTTTTTCTCTTCAATTTTCTATCCATTCCGCTGAAAAGCCGCCAAGCTGAATGGTAAATATATCAGCAGAGACCATCTCCCCTGCTCTTTCAAGAAACATTTACAGCGGGGAGTTGGAGGGAGGGGGGTGGGGGGGTGCACAAAGACAATTTTCCGTCTTTGCCTCCCCTCCGCTCCATCACACAGCGCTGGTCATTGCATCGTGCCGGTTGCCTAGCAACCTGGCATCCCTCGTCCCGGCCGTCTCCAGGCAACGAGACCTGCGACCGTAATCAACCTGCCACCTCCCTCCGCCCCTCCCCTCCCCTCCCTGCTCCTCTCTGCTGCTTTTTTTCTTTCTCCCTCGCTACTCCATCCACCTCCTCATCGCAAATGCACTTATACGCTGGGACGCACTTATGAATTCACCCGAGGGAAAGGAGCGGGCACAGGTGGAGTTTGGTATATCAAAAGGCGGAAAAAAAGAAGGGAACACAAAAACGGACAACAAAGAGTTGTAGCAAAGCGAGAGAGGCAGGGGTAAAAATAAAAATGAAAATCTGAGTCTGTTAATGTGTCCACTCGCAGATGCACACACAGATGTGCACACAAGGTAAGCAGAGAGAAAGTCTACCTTCTCTTAAATACAGCCCGGCACTAAATCAATCAAACACAAAGAGACTGACAGCACAACGCTTGTACAGTTCAATAATATTTAATCAATGATCCAGTCTTCAGTATCAAAGCTGCTCCCCGGCGCTGTCTCCTCTCCTTCTACGGGCTTCACTAGTGTGTCCAGCATCAGGGCAAAGCTGACAGCTCTGGAAGCTGACATTTAGCTTTATATTTCGTCAGACAGCCAACAAAAAAACATTCAAAGGAGAGACTGAATATCAAAGAGTACATTTCTAAAAACACCAAAGTTGCCCCTCAATTGTTTTGTCTCTTCTGACTGTTAAATATTCATGTCAAGTGTTGTTTGACTCGAATCAGTGGAGCAGAAGGGGAAAAGAACGGAATCACGGCGGACAGATTTCTGTGTGTGTGTGTGTGTGGAGGGGGGGAGTGTGTGCATGTGTTTGTGTACAGATAGGGTCCATGTCATACTTTTTTATTTCGGGCATGGTTTACACTGTAACTCCGCCGTAGTCCAGCGTATATGTAGTTCAAAGAGCCTAATGAGTTTAGTGACATCAGACACTTCTGTGTGTGTTTGCCTACCACTCATGCACACACACACTCCAACCCCCCAAAACACACTATTTCTCAGTAACAGATGTCTGTATTTAAGCTGATAAACACGCTGTCTCAATGCACCTCCAACCCCCTCCACGCTTACTGCCACCCACTGTTCATTATCTCAAACTTTCATTCATCTCTTCCTCCCCTCCCCCCACCCTCTCTTATTGTCCCCCCCACCCATCCCTCCCTCCTTGGTTTATCCAATTTCTCTCTAATTCACACCCATTTACCACCTCTATAAATCCAATCTGCATTCATCATTAAAGTTGCCCCAGAGTGACGTACAGAGGACGGGCCCTTTTTTTGTTGTCAGTCAGCGCCGCCTGTCCTGCATCGTGCCCCCCCGTGCATTGATATGCATGCATATGTAAATGATTGGACGCATGAATGCACACTTAACTCCAGATAGATTCATCACGTGAACACATTTGCTCCGAGGCACACTAATTGCCATCATCATCATCACCACGTCCGTAACTCACTGACATCAGGACAGAGCTACATATGGAGGCAGTGCTTTATCTGCTTGTTGTCAGATACATGAAGTAACATGCTCGTGTTCACATCATCACAGCATGTTTAAGGTCCTTAGTGAACCTTAGTGCGTCTACTTTGTGGTTGTTTGCCTAGTCACACATTAAATGTCATTTATCGGAAAAGAAAGAATGAATAAACGATTACGATTGTATAAGAGACATAACCATGCAACTGTTCATGCCAGAGAACGTTTGCTCACATTAAGGGCACAGCGTTGTGGCACTACAACTTCCCATCTCATATCCTGCGTACAAAGCCTGGGCTATATTTAGCATATGCATTTATTTCAGACTATTGATAAAACCCCTCTGTCTGCTCCGTCTGAGTCCTTATGGCTGAGTAAATGTCAGGCTTAGTCAGATGTTCCACTCAAAGAGGGCTCTTTCCTCTCGTACGGGCAGCTTAAACACAGAAGGCCTTGCAGCTCAGGTTTTACACACACACACACACACACACACACACACACACACACACACACACACACACACACACACACACACACACACACGGCAGATAATGAATGAAGAAACCTGAGAGCAGCCTATAATAAACCCAACAACTTCCATCCATCCATATCTTTTCGGATGTGTACTCTCCATGGAAACAAATGCACACAAAAGCAAACAGACATTTACACACAGCCGCGCACAAAAGCACACGCACCCTTCATTAAACCGTGTTAGTGCGAACACCTGCCCTCCCTTCCCCCGCTGAACATGCAAATACACACCAAACAGCTACTTTCTCACTTGGGCACAGTCGCACTATTAAATACTTATTGCGTTTAAAATGTAACGGGGAGGCATTGTCGCAAATATTAATTCAATTGGTGTTGATGAAGGGCAACATATTGTGTATTGCAACACAGTCTCACGGCATTTCGTGTTATAGTCACAAAATGTATCTATTGATTCGTGTTCACCAACAGGATTTCCCCATTTTTTTCGTGTCACACAGAACGATTTTAAAAGCAATGTAAATAATAACGAATTAGAAGGAAAAAGAGATTCGAAAAAATACAGATTTCAGTATTCTGACACAGAACGATTTTAGAAGCAATGTATTTCTATTGGTAGGTAGTATGTTTTGTGCATGCACCAAATAAGGGTTAGGCTTAGGGTAAGATATTGAGTAAGAAAATGTTTTTATGAACCACACTGCAAAAATCGTGTTGGTGAACACGAATCAATAGATTAAATTAATTTTGTGACTATAACACGAAATGCCGTGAGACGGGGTTATCTACTGAAGCAGATATAAGATTTAGGGCTGCAACTGACGGATCAAAGGAGAATTTGGGGAAAGATGCTAATTTGCTTTCTTGCCCTGAGTTGGATTGGAAGATGGTGACCTCTACCACTAAATATAATGCTGCAGCCTTTTAGCTTAGCTAAACACAAAGACTGGAAACAGGGGGGACAGCTAGCCTGGCTCTTAGACAAACAAGATGTTCTAAAAAGATAAATATGTTTAAATATGAGCGTGTTCATTATGAAGCTGTTGAGGTTCTTGTAGGAGTATTTTGCAAAGCTTCCTGTTAACAGTCTTTATGCTAAGCTAGGTTAGCATGCCGCTCGCTGAATATTCAGACAGACAGAGCAGTTACATTATTTTAATCCTTAAGAAATCAAATAAGTAATAATAATAATTCATAAGTGTTTTACTTTTTGTCAAACCGACTGATTATTATCTTAATTTATGATTTTGCTATCTTAAAATTGTTATCAGTCCAAAAAACGAAATATTTTAAATGTAGGCCTACTATAGCAGAAAAAACAGAAGACATTAACTTCAAAAAAACTGAAACCAATAAAAAAATGCTTAACTTGAACACTTATTACTGAGTCATCTTTGTTTAATGCCCTTTAATGGCAATAAGCTGAATGATTCAAAGTTATTGATTTGATTTATATTTTGAAATGTACAAAAGTTGCTGTGTAAAATGGCTTCTTTTTAATCTGATATAATGGGATGTTATTGTCTCTATGAGCTCTCGACAGCTGACGCAGAGATAAGACGATACAACAGAGGGGACAAGAGTACAAGATGTCCAAGTAGGATTCAACGTGAGTACCTTCGTCCTCCATGTCCGCCCTTCCCCTCTGAGTAAATCTGTTTTATTGCTCCCCATTTTTTTTCTCTCCCTTTTCCAACTCCACTATTCCCTCACTTTCTTTCGTCGCTTTCAGCTGAATGTGCTTTTGACACTCTTCCTCCCCCTCCCACTTAGGGACGGACTCTCTCACCTGAAATTAAACACAAGGCCAGGTGCCACTCCGAAACAACCATCTGCTCGCCCTGCCTGACTTCCTTCTTTCTTTTTCTTTCTTCCTTCCCATTGTTCACAGAGAGAAAGAAAATCAGTAAAACAGTAAGGATTAAAAAAAAAAAAAAAAAAGCCTTAAGAATGACCCGAGTTTCCCGAGAGGAGAAATGTGCCGAGTGTTAATGACATCTTTCAGCTTTCTCTTTTATTCAGGTGTGCTTTTTATTCCAGCGTTCTCCCCTCAGTAATAATTGCTTTCATGTTATTTCTTTTGTGTCGCTCTGACCACGAGATGCCAAAGTTAATTATTCTTCGCCAGTGCAGGTGCAATTAGATGACAATTACACCACAGCTGGTAGCGAGTCGTTCTTGTGCATGTGGGAGTGTGTGGAGCTAATAATATGGTTTTGGTCTTTTTCTTCTCTCCCTCTTTTGGCATCAGAGGGGGGAGGGCAGGGAAGGATTGAGAGAGCACAGGAGGGTTTAGCTTGTTCCACACGGCTTAGAGGTAAGAGGTTGTGAGGAGGAGAGCCGCAGGGTGGAAACACAGGGGGGACAGGGCTTTAACTGCGAGACATTGGCCCTCGCTGATCCCCTGTGAGAGGTCAGGAAGGTCATGCTACTGTCACGCTAACATTAGGATCTCTTTTGTTGCCACCCCAATACCAGCCTTCTCCTTCAAACTGATTCAGTGTCCCCAAAAAAAAACCTGCCTGCCATTAAAACAATGTTCTGCTAAGATAATCAATAAGTCAATTTTCGTTCCTGAGTAATCGTTAACTTATCACGGAAAAATGTGGACTATCATTTTAACTGGCATCTCAAAATATGAGGGTCGGTGTTTTATTTTTACTTTAGGGATGATCGATTAATTGTGTTTGTTAGTTATAATGATTTGTTTCCAGCAAACAGCCTAAAACTCATACATAATAAGTTAAGCATCACATGTGAAATAAAAAAGGCAGCTCACACTGGCATTTTTGCTTTAAAGATACCCAAATGATTAATCAAAAACAGTTGCAGATACATTTCCTGTGACTAACCAATCTTTCCTTTCTTTATCTGGTTCCATGTGAATATTTGCTGTTTTCCTTTGTCTGCTATGATATTAAATTAATCATCTTTGGGACTGTTCTTAGGTCAAAAACAAACAACTTGACCACATTACCAAACAGAATGAATAATTAATCGGTACTGAAAATAATCTTAAAATGCAGCCCGACACTGTTCACCTGCTTCTTTCCTCAAAAGACTATGGTCATGATCTGTAATTGGGGCATGGAAAAAAAAAAAAGAAGTGAATAATTTCAACAAAAATAACCAAAAGGAAACAGGGGGGAAGCCTTGTTAGTAAAAGAGGAAGCAGCAGCGAGTCTGGGAGCACACTGTCTCAGTAATTCCTTGCCTTGTCGCCTTGTCTCTCATATAGTCGGTTATTATAGAGACGTGGCTGTCATGTCATATTTAGCTCTGGAAATGTCATTTGGCAGCACACCTGCTGCCTGGCTATGCTAATATAGCTAGGTTTAACTTTGATTAGAATTCAGAGGGAGAGATGGACAGAAATAAGTCAGTGGGGGAGGGGGAGAAGGGGGAGAGAGAAAGACGGAGACACAGAAAGGAAGAGAAACATCAGAGAGAATAAGAGCTGGCAAAGTCACTTCAGCAGCGAGCCTGTCTCTTTCGACCCGTGACATGTTGCGAGATGACTCATGCCTCAACTGGATGGATATGTCTGGATGCATCACATATGAAACATAAGAGAGAGAGCAGCCTCTGACCTTTATTGGAGCATATCAGCTAAAGGGGGAAGTCAGGCTGGCATGTCAAACTCGATTAATTTTCTCGTGTCACTGTGGGTCCGTCTGTGTCTGTGTAGTGCGCTCAGATAGCCTAGCATGCCAGTTGTTCTGATTCCCTTTGTGTATAGAAATATAAATATATTTAAACACAATGTGAGGATCTCAAAAAGATACTCACCCCGGGTAGTGTCTTCTGCTCGTGCAGTGCATTCTGGGCTTTGAGGGCGGACTCACGTGCACAATATGTCAGGAAGGCACATCCTGGAAACAAAGACAAAGTGTAAGAAGATCAGAGAGAATAATCCATGTATTTTTTATGTCAGATTCATATGCTATATATATCGAGATTAGGCAGGGCAATGTTATTGTAAGTTAAATCTGAATTGGCCATTCGCCCTGAATGCCTGCAGGCACAAACATGCTGCTGCAGTTTATTGTCCTATTATTAATCTGCCAGTTGATATGTGCTTTGGATTTATTTTAACTACAGTTCTAGGTCGACATGTGTTTTCGGAAGAAAATCCTCCTTCCTTAAATGAGGCCATCATTATTAAAGATGCATTTAAAGTTGCATGAAACTACATTTAAATAACAACGAACATATACATTTTGTAAAGTAGCTCTCACAGTAGCACTGGAGATCTATGGGATTATTAAATAATAATACCTGGAGACTATTCAGACAAGAGCAGTCCTAATGGTTATTTAGTATCATGCTGGTGAGGCCAAATGTATGCAGTACCACATAATAGAGAAAGGCCTTCATTAACCTTTAGGGCTCAGACAAATCATGAATATGTAAATGAATGCAGAATAGGTGTTATAGGTGTAAGAAGGCTCATAGCACCTGGCCTATACGTCTCCCAAATGGCTGATGGTTTATGTGGATTTATAAAGGCCTTTGTTTTCTGCACTCAGATTTGCATTAGAAACGACAGTAAGGATCATTGTTCAGCGTAAATCACTTTGACCAGCTTCAGCCCATCTGTCACGTAAGATTTTGAGTGTGTTGAGGCTCTACTTGTTCACCATATGACGTGCAGTAGCAGTAGTGGTGACACTCTCTCAAACAGATAACCTGATATCACCATGTGAGGCTCATTATGCACCGACAAAATACTTTTATTAAGATTGATCTTACACCACTTGCTTCATAAGAATTTAAAGAAAGAAGATGGAGAGCACTGTGCAACATTTTTTATTTAACCGTCTAAAATAATAGCTTTTTTTTCTCCTGCAGTTTTTAATTGTAGCATCCAGAGGTAGGCGTGAACGAAAACCTCCCAGCATGCATCAGTGGGGCCATTATCTCCTGTGTGTTTTCCACCGTGCTCAACAATGTTTACACATTTCAATTGTTGTTACAGAGTTAGTTAGCTCCCCAGTGTGTGTATATGTTGAAGAGTGACTCAGGCGAAAGAGTGTTTTGACCAATAATGTAAAAGTTGTTCAGTCACACTGAACTGAAAACTGCTCTCGACACTCAAGGTTTGGGTTTGTAGAAATATAATAACATTTTATTCTTAATATGTGTTTGGTCATTATAAAAGAGCTACCTCTTGTTTTCTTTCTCCTACAGTCTGTAAAGTATTTTTAGAAAACTCTGGGAATCACTTTATAAGACTAATGTATTATTAACAAAAATTATATAACATTTAAAAATAAAAAGGTTTTCTGAGGTAGATGAAATTAGGCCGAACACAGTTGAAAGAATTTAGTGTGAATCATTGCCTCATTAAAAAAAAAGAAGTCCCGGCTGATCAATACTTTAGTCAGTCCATGTCTAAAAGATTAAATATTTAAGACACGTAATATCTAAAATATTTATTTAATAGTCAGTCTGTGAAACGTGATGTATCAAACTTTTAACCAACTAAGCTTTCTTTTATAGATCAATGGTGCTTAACATCCGGTTTGGCCTCAGAGGGGTCATTACAAATGCTCCAGAGGGACAATGTCTAAGTGAATAGCTTTAACCTCTGATATTTACTAAGAATAAAAACCTGAGGACATATGACAGATATTTCAAAAACATGCCTCATCACTATATGATTAGACTAAATAAGCAGTATATTCCCCCCAAAGATTGTGTCGATTGTGAGTAATTGGCCCTTTATCCCTCACCTTTGTGCATCCCTGTGTATTTGTCCTTTATCACCGTCAACTCGTAGATCTTTCCAAACTGCTCGAAGATGGGCTTCAGGTCCTTCTCCTCCAGGTTTCGGGGGATTTGCCCGATGAAGAGCTTGATTGCGTCAGGCTCCTTCATTGAGAAGTCTAGGGAGGAATAAAAAAAAAAAACACACACACAGCAGGAGAGGCGGTCAGGAGGAGCAGACAGGAGCCTGCGGGCTTAAATTCACACTGCACAGGAGGTGCAAACAGGAGGCCGGGGATGGAGATGCAGATGGGAGCTTTCAGTGGAAATNCAATCTGCACAGTGTGATCATTGTCTTATAAGTCTATCATCTAACTCAGGGGTGGGGAACCTCCGGCCTCCGGGCCGTATACGGCCCGCGAGACAATTTGGTACCAAATTGTCTCGCGGGCCGTATACGGCCCGGAGGCCGGAGGTTCCCCACCCCTGAGTTAGATGATAGACTTATAAGACAATGATCACACTGTGCAGATTGTATTCTTCCAGTTGAGATATGAACAGACTGCAATGATATTAGGGTTTGATGACAACAAAGCTCTACAAAATTTAATTAATTTTTATTTCAATATAAAAGTGTGATGCTCTTAATGTGAGTAATGGGTTTAGCAAACATTTATACATTTCACATAATTGTAATTTGTCAAAAAGAAAATATTTGAATCTATAAAACCAAATAGACTCACACCATAACTTTTTATAGAATGGCATATTCAAAAGCAAAACAAAACTACATACATCTATTGTTCATCTATTTTACTAGTATATAAACATAGACAATCATATCCCTATTTAAAGAATTGTAACTAGGTGAAATGTTACTGGTTGTGAGCATTGCAAAGCATTGGTTCATTCACTTGATACATCCAAATAAACATTAAATACAAAATAATCTCAAAAGCAAAAATGCATTTCTAGTGAAATAATACAAAGATGGGGTTAGTGTGTGTGTGAGCGTAACCTAAAGCCGAGTGGTTTCTGCCTGCCTGAGAGCAATTTTACATGTGTGCGCGCCCTGTGTGTGTGTGTGTGTGTGTGTGTGTGTGTGTGTGTGTGTGTGTGTGTGTGTGTGTGTGTGTGTGTGTGTGTGTGTGTGTGTGGGTAGGTGTGGGACAACTATTTTGTTTCACTATGGGGAAACATCAGCAGGTTCACAGAGCTCTAGTCCTTTTACAAATCATGCTTTACTCCTTCATACAAACCCCCAAGGGAAATATGCTCTGTCCTGTCTGACAAGTGAAATCCAAGCATCCCGCACATATTTTATTATTGATAGGGTTAGCGTACAGAGCATACAGACACACCTGAGAAGGATTACTCACCTGGATAAATACAACATGCCTTGCTATTTCAGGAACAGTGAGATGGTTCTTTTTGGAGGTATTACAAAAAGGCTGTAATTAATCAATTTTTGAGCATGTTTAATTGCATTTATAATCATAGTTATAGTCATACATAAAAAGGTATGCATAACCTTCTGTTATTTTAGGAATATGTGGAGAGAAAAGTAGAACACTAAAACACATTATAATGCACTTAAAACACAACAAATCCACATGTAAATTATAAGATACTCGAATATACTTGATATGAAATCAATGCAAAAGCAACAATTTAGGGCTGGAGCAAATGAATAATATTATTGGAAAGTCACACATGGCAGAATGTGAACAGATGAAGAGATTTCTGGTTCTCCAGAGTCTATTTAAAAAAAAAATCAGTGATTGAGATCGATTTCTGCAATTGGAAGTATACATTTTCTAAATTCGATGTACTTTTGCTGTAACAATGTCAATTTCCCCGCTGTGGGACGAATAAAGGATTTCTGATTTGTATTCAGGTCAGGGTGTTTTTATCTTAGAAAGCAGAACACTGAACTACCTGCTCTGATACATGTGGTGCTTTTATGTTTGCACGGAAAGGTGCTATTCCTTTTTACAAAGAAATAAAAGCCTTAGTTTTGAATCGTAAAGCGGTGTATTTTAATTAACATGGCTTCAGTGTGGAATAAAAGTTTAAATACGTAAATATAGCCTATTAATTAATCATCCACGTAGATTTTTGGCTTCGGGATTCATATTTCCCACAGTACCCAAAAGCAACACATATGGGCAGTGACAGCCTCTAGGGCTCTGGTCAGTGAGCATCGTGATTTGAATGAACAGACCAATCAACGGCCTCGACGCTGGCCCTCCGTCACTCTTGCCCAATCACAGCGCAGCACCGTTGTTTGCCTTCCCTTTTTGAATTGTGCTCTAACAGCAGGCAGACGCCTTCTCGAGACTAATATTAAGTAGTTATCTGTCAACAAACTAACGCAGCAACATTTTGACAATTTGGACTATTTGAACGCATACAGCTCATCATGCATTGACTCCACACTTGAGATACAACGGAGAAATTTTTCATATTTTATGATTGTTTTGGACCGAAGAGGACTTATCAATATTTCTTCATTGTAGAGTTGACTCGCTAGCTAGCTAGGTGGCTAGCTAAGTTTGCTAAAGGGCTTTTTGAATTTGACGGTAGCTAATTTAGCTCCGCTTACTACATTTTTCTTTTATTCTTTTTCTCTAAGGTACCTTCCACAGGTTGGTAAGTATAGTTTACTTTGTTTGTTTATATTGTGCTGTTAGAAATGCATCTATCTTAACTTTAGCTAACGTCTGTTTTAACAACGTTAAGCAAGGGGAATTTGATGCCGGGTGTAACAGTCAACGTTAAGTGGCCTAGTCTTGATATGAAGTTAGATATATCCTTACAGTTAAGTCCCCTGTTGGCTAAATAATGATTGTGTTTATTATATTCCACAAAGAATGTCTTGAAAAACCCAAGAGGGAAAGGTAACTATGTTGGCCATTCCTAAACCGATCAACATAATAACGTAATAAGGGTGTTTAGTTTGGATATAAGTGTTCATTACCCGTGACATGTTTTTCCACAATGCTCTTTGTCATTTATTCGCCAAAATCATAATTTTGGTTGTTTTTTTGTCAGCACTGAGACTTGCACAACGTATCTGCATTCACAAGTGCTTTTCATTAAGCCCAGTAGAACCTCTTAAAACTATAGTTTAACACATTATAAGTTGAAGTATTAGATTTGTTCCACCATGCCAAAGTTATCTTGGTTGCTTTGTTGCCAATCGAATTATAACTTAGGCAGGGTTTGTGTTTTAAGTCATGCAAAGTTATGTTTCTTGACTTGAGTTTGACAGTTGTCACCCTTTTCTTTTCCTCCTGGTTCCTGTACCTTCTCTTTCTCTTCTCTGCCTTGCGGTTTTCTCCCTCGGTTCTTTCCCTGTAACTTTTGATAGTTTGGACAGTTCGCTGCCTCTATAGGATCCTGCCATGGCTGACAGCAGCATACTAACTTTAGGGACAGCTCGGAGTCTGTTGCTGGATTCTTCAGTCTGTGATTCGAGGATCGGCGAAACCACCAAGGACCATGTGTTCCTGGGCATGGCATATGAAGATGGGGAAGGTCCGTTTTCAGGGGTTACCCTTTTTTCCTCCTCTCCCATCATTTCCTCCCTCTTAACACAGTGTATCTAAATACCCATACGCATCAAATTTCAGCGTAGAATATATCCTCTTAAATTAGTGTGTAATCTCATCCTTTCCCTTTATTTGTTCAAGCCTGTTTGATTTCAACCGAAAACACCATAATCAATACATTCATTGATTGAAATAAATGCATTCAACTTCTCATATCAGACTATAGATACATAGTAAAAAATACGCAGGTAAAATATGCAAGTAGAAAACAGCTTATGCAATCATTTTTGTCTAGTTAATGTTCCAGGACGTGGAGTTTTATATCATATGTAATGCATTCTTGACACAAGTATTATTACGTCTGTTGGCTCTAACTCTTGTTATCCATTAGTCAGACTGGCTGTGCTGACATCATCCATGTAATACGAAATAAACCTTATTTAGGGTGCGCCAGTGGAGCACGAGCAGCGTTGGCAAATGCTGAACCATAGTGGCAGACAATCAGTGGTGGACTAACTAAATACGTTTACTCAAGTACACTACATTTATTTCACAGATTTGGATTATTAATACAAAATCTATATGAACTAATATATCATGCATTGTTATATGTTAAGCTACACAGTAGTATAAAAGGTCATTTAAATAAACCCCACTTTTACCAAGAGCAACATTTAAAATGATGAACACATTATTGCATCAAGAATTATAATAAAACAATTGAAAATATATAATGCCATTCTGCTTAACAAGGACTTTTACTTTTGGTACTTCTTCCAACTGAGCAACAAGGACAAAGCTTTGACGCAGTCCGTCGTTGTCGTTGTGGTCGAGAGGGGTGTTCATGATTGCGTTACTGATAAAAAGCATAGTGTTTGTTCAATTTGGGCACCAACTGCAAACCCAACTAGCACCAGCAGGGAACTAAAACAGAACTAATTTCAGCGGAAAAGGGGTATTAGATGTATTTCTAATTTTGAGTTTACCCTTATTGATATTTCATAGTTTGGAGGAAATGTGTAGAGAACCATCTTTCAGTAAAACACAACACTGCTGAACATAAACTATATTCAAAATGTAGAATCAACACCAATCACAAACAGTTCAAAGTAAAATTAAACCTTATAGAATATTAGGACATATATAGGACTTTTATATTAATCCTCCTCACAATTTCTTCATGAATGTTATAGGCTTTGCTGATAAGGAAAAAGTCCAAGAGACAATCTACCACTTTTCATCCCCCTTATTTCCCTTGTTCACTATGTCTCCCTTCATTTCTCTCAGACATGCTGCCAAAAGTGGAGACGAGGGTTATTCTTGTGGGAGAAGCTGGCAGAAATGGAGCGCTAGTCAAAGCACTGCAGGTACATCATTCCTATATTATTCTTGAAGGTCTGCTCTTAGGTTGGCGGCCTTCACAATTTCAGCTTGTCAACATCACTGCTATTCTTTGTTCGATAAGTAGGACATGGACACTCTTTTTTTTGTAAAGGACAATCTGGATGCTTTAAACTTCCATAGAGGGAGAACTTTTTTCCATTGTTTGTTACATTTTTTCAGTGTTTCCACCCACGGGTGTCGGGGTTGGAGAAATGCATCCTAATCAGCAAAAACAGTTATATAAAAATCCTCAATGGATGTTGGTATAGACTTATGAGTTTAAAAAATAATTCCTTGTGCAGCTAGTTGATTATTCCTCTGTTTTTTTTGACAAAGGAATCTTTCAGCATCTGCTTTCAGCCACAGATGTGAAACATTGTGTTATTC